CTTTCTTTCTTTCTTTCTTTCTTTCTTTCTTTCTTTCTTTCTTTCTTCCTTTCTTTCTTTCTTTTTTTGTTTTGAGGTAGTGTCTTGCTATGAAGCCCAAGCTAACTTCACCTTCATTGCAATTCTCCTGCCTCAGGCTCTTAAATGCTGGGATTGCACATATGTGCCATGGTCCTTAGGTTTCTAAGATCATATTAATGATCAATTATGGAGCATGTGTCAAGCACAGAGGCCTATGTGGTCAGGTTCTTAGGCAAACCCAAGGTTCTCCTACTCAAAAGGCCCACACAGGAGTTCCCAGGGAACAGAAGGGGCAGGACAGAGGTCAGACAGTCTCTCTCTCATTCATACACACACACACACACACACACACACACACACACACACACACACACAGGCATTCCATAAAGGGTACCAAAATCTCCAAGAGTCTCTGCCTGGCTTAAGTTCATCATAGGGACCACAAGTACCCCAGCGCCTCCAAAGCATCTGCCCTCCCAAACTCCAACTCCGTAGCTGGGAAGCTTAACAGTGTGGTGGGCCACCTGGAAGCAAGAACAACTTAGAGGCAGTCAGCTTCTGTCCTGGTCCAAAGTCCAGAAGGAGGGGGAAAGGCAGGTAACAGGAAAAATGGTGCACCACACTGCTGCCCTCAGAAGGGACCCAGCACACAACTGGTAACCCCCAAAGCTGACAAATAGAACTCTGAGAACCCAAATCACCCCCCCTCCAAGTGGCCTGCCCCTCTGTTCCTGCCAGGAAGCAGCTTCAAGCCTGAGAGCAGACACATAACCAGTTTTCCTTCATGCCTCTGTCCTGGCACCCTCCCATCAGAAAGGAGGTGTGGAGGGTGCTGGCCAGTTCCTTGGCAGCTCCAGCCTTGTGCATAGGGAGCAGCCTGGAGAAGAAATGAATGTCCCAGGAGATGGCACGCTGACAGCTCCTTTCAAGACAGCCAGGCAGTCTGTGAGGGGGCTGGGGTGTAGCTTCTTCCCTGCCTCCATTCCCCCTACTTGAGACAGGCAGCTGCTTCATCAATGTGTGAGTTAATTAGGGCCGTTTCTGTCATCATGTGGCTAAGGAACATTCACCCACAACAGACAGGGGCTAGGAAGGGAAGACTGCCATGCCGGGAAATTCACTGACACCAAATGCTGTCTCCCAAAGAAGGGGGACTACGAGGCCCGACAGTATATCACCCCAGGAAGCACCTCTGAAGCACCCCATCCCCATTGGCCCTCTGAATAGAACAAGCAAATGCACTGCAGCACCCACCATAGGGCCTTAGACCAGGCAGGGCTAAGTGTCAGAGCCCTCCCATGTCATGCTGGAGCAGATCAAAGGCCTTCTTCTCAGGAAGATTGCCATAAACCAGGAACTACCTACAGCCAAGACAACCACAGCCCCCCCCCCCCCACCTCCTAGGAAGCGAAGCCTGTGGAGAGTAGGGAGAATGGCTTCCCAACCCTGCGGTGAAAATCTGAGAGAAGAAAAAGAAAGCTAAAGACTTCTCAAGATTCTCTGAAACAGCTTTCCTGGGCGATGAAGCTGCTTTCTCATCTGTAGCCCAGTCCCAAAGGGGCTGTGGACAGCAGGACTACAGACATACTGCACAGGGCTTGTGCTAGGACACAGCACTGGCAGTTGGGCCGTCTGCTGCCTAGCCTTTCCACAAGGTGCCGAGTTGACTTTTGGGCCCTGGCCCTGGGATCTCATGATCTCAGGGTTCCACACAACACCCTGTTAGAGTGGGCTGTTCGTGCTCTCCAGGCAAAGGGTTGAGGAAACAAGGAAGAAGGTTGGCGTCAGACTATGCAGGCAGGTGCAGACAACAAGAGGGAGGTTTTCTGCAGTCAGCCCTGAGCAGACATGCTGCTCTCAGAAACAGACCTTCCCTCCAGGCCACCCAGCCATAGGTCCTCAGTGCACACGGCTCTGTGTACCTGGGGGACGGGGTGGTGGTGGTGGTGGTGGGTGCCCAAATAGCCCAGACTAAGCTCTAAGGAAGCGCAAGGGCCAAGCCCTGGAGGACAGTCAGAGTGAATCTGTCAATAGCAGCCGACGACCTGGATAAATCCTGGGATGGTTTCCTCACCTGGGAGTCAGAGCTAGGGCGACCTCCTATCAGAGGCAGAATGACTAATGAACAGCAAAATGCTAAACATGCTGTCACAAGACTATAATCATAGCGGACTTGCTTCACGAGGAGGCCTGCCCAAGTCCTTGAGAGCACAGCTGCATCTACGCCAGCTCCGTCCTTCTCAGCCTTTGGGCTTTGCACCAGCGCTCTGCTGAGCCAGTCCTGGCTGAAAGGGGGTGTCCACACCGGGGACCTGAGTATGCTAAGCAGTTAGAAGCCCTCCCTGCCCCTCACATGCCAGCAACGCCTGTGACCTCCAAGTCCACAGGATAGTGAGGATGGCGCTTGTCTCTGATGTGATAAATGAGAATAACCCTTGTTTAGGGCTAAGCCGGCTGGCCTGAATAAATACCATTAGCACTTGGATTGTTGGGGTGTTCACAGTCAGCAGGTGAGTCAGCTTCGTGCAGAGGGCCAGCAGCAGCTGCTGCTCTGTAAATCTTAAGTGGGGCAGTCAGGGAGAGGGGTGGATCTCAGAATTGGAAGTGATGGCATTTGCTGAAATCAAACAATTTGGGTCAGGTGACAGCGATATGCCAATCTGTCAGGAGCCATTGGCCATATTTTAGCTAAGCTGAGCGAGTGTCTGGCTCTCAGCAGAACACCTGACTTTAAGAGCACCCAGGCAGGGCCAGAGATCACATGACAACATGGCCTCACACAGGTCTTAGGCCTGCATTTTTCAGCCTTGGCCCTCAGGACTAGCTGCATGATGCTCAGGCCCACATACAACACGGAAATGTGGGCTCTTTCAAAGGTTAGCAATTTAAGGTGGTTTGAGGAGAGCCCTGGATCAGACATGGGCCTTTTGAGTGTGTATTCTGTCCACTGCACTGTCTCCAGGCCACGGTATATGCAGTGTGGAGGAGACACAGAAACTCTGCTTGGGATAATCTGACTGAAAGTGGGGTGTTAATCTATGAACAGGGAGAAAAGACGGAGGAGGAGACAGAATACTGGGATGAGAAATGAGGGAGGCTGACAAGTTGGATGGGACCACAAAATGCTCAGGTAAAAGCCTGGAGCTCACCTTGCATCCACTAGACTCCCAGATGGAGCATGGGCCCTGGCACTCCACAAGACACTGGGCACACACTGGTGTGCTTTTTTTATGGGGCCTCAATGCACTCTGAAGGGGGCAAACATTTCTTTTCATTGTATTCTAGAAAGTCTTAAAAAGATGCCATGTCACAGGACAAAGGCATCTCTGGGTGGTTGTTCCAGTCTGGACCCCGCATGGTTCTGCCTGAGAGAACTGTGCACTCATTTTCTTGCAGACAGTAGCTTTCTCTGGTGTCCTCACCTGGTCTACGCCCAATGCATGGCCTGAGCATCTTCGAAGCACCAGTTCGCAGTATGTGTAGCCCTGTAACTTTGGGGGCAGGAAGGAGCCATACAGGCCATTTAGGGACAAGCAGGTATGTAATCAATCACACAAGATACGACCCCTGGAACATTTATTTTTTGTAAGTCATTTCAAATGAGGCACTGCAAATTACAGAAAAATAAGCCAGACACAGACTGCAGTGTGATCCCAGGGGGCTCATAAGAAAGAAGGATCACTTGAACTCGTGGGTTCAAGACTCCATTTCAGAACAACAGCAACAGTAACAACTAACAGAAGAGTATTTTACAGAGAACCCTCCTGTCAAGACTCTCCAGCTGCTAATGTTTTCACATAAGCTTTTCTGTTTTCTTTCCCTTCCCCTGTCCGCATCTCTCTTAGCACTATCTTCAGTGCTGGGCCTTGCACACACTCACAAAGCCTTTGCCACTGAGCTGTACTCTAACCCTTTATAGAAACATTTACACAGAACGTTCCCCAAACATATGAGAGCAAGTTGCAGATATGCTACCCAGCGCCGGCACAGGTCAGAACCAGCACCGACAGAGTGGTTTATAAGATGGCCAGCTTTGCCAACCATCCCAATAATAT